TACAAGTACTGCTGTCCTGTGCTCCAGGGGGATCATCTATGAGCCTGAGCTTGTGTGCTGAGGCCCAACAGCTTCTGATCTATACTCTGCTGCTGTCAGGGAGGCTGGGTCACAGGAAAGGTGGTGGTCCTGCATAAAGGCTGAAGGAGATCTGCAAGCTGCAGGGAGAGGAGTCAGGGAGAGGAGTCATTTGACTTATGTCAGACTTGAAAGGTCTGTTCTCTCTTTCCAAAAATAGGGAAAGGAAAAAAAAAAAAAGGTGGGGAAATAAATGATATTGCACTGTATGGCCCTTCTCTGATTTGTGTGTTATTTTGTATTCAGTTACCTGTTCAAAGACAGGCAGTGATGGAAAGCTGGGGAAATAAGTTTTCAGCTATTCCAGGACATTCTGATGATAGATAGGGACTTTTGGAAAACCATAATAACATGATATTTTACTTTTACTTCAGTCCATGTTTCTATTTCCTCCCCTCTGGCCTTTTATAAATTTCAAAGTTACACAACACTTCCTAAGAATGCCCTTCCCTCTGCCTTTATGCTGGCCTTGAACGTAAACAGGGACAGCTTGAAATATGGTTGTGAAAGCTTCACCTTATTTTGGCAATAACAGCCTGATCTCCAGCACTACTTATTTTACACAGTGAATTAATTTTTTGTTTGTTAATGATGGGATCTGCTTCCTATATAAAAGGTTTTCTACCTGCGTTTTACACTACTGAAATTCATGTGCTGTGGTTTTCATAATCAGAAGTGATGAACCATTAATTTATATTGTATTTTTCAATATTTTTCTATATAATAAGTAAGTATTGAATTCTCTTTGCATATTTTAATTAAATTTAATATATTTGAGCTGCAGTGGTCAAATTTTTGTGTAATGTGAATTAAGTAATGTAACTTTTATTCTTTTCTTTCTTTACTGAAAACATTTGAAGGTGCAGAGAAGAGAAGCAAAAGTTTATCTCTTCTCTGACAAGGTTAAAGCCCAAGAGTAAGTCAATGAAAAAACACCAAAACCTCACACTGGATCTGTTTATTGAAATATTCAAATAGAATTCATTCTCTCTATGATTTCTTTGTTGAAACTATGGTGGCATATGGGGAAGTAAGATATATTACAATAAAACTGATATAAAACAGTTGAATTCAGAATTAGTGGCAAGAGATAATTTTAGTTTACTATGATTTAATTCAATTAAATGAAACACTGCTAACTGCAGACTAAGAAGAATTACTTGTGCCTGTGCAGGCACACACAAGTATTGTTTATTCTCTGCTGCATCTCTCTTTGCAGAAGATATTACACCAGTAAAGAGTGGGTGCTTGATTCTTTCATAGCACTGTAAAAGTCTATATACCTCACAGACCTCAGTGGAAATTTTACCTGAGCAATGAGAAACACTGAGCTAAGGTGTTGGAGAGTAGACCCTTTAAAACCCAGGAGTCTGTCCTTATCTAGTATGCTCCCTTTGAACATCAGCAGTTTTGGTGCAGGCTTGTGGACTAACTTATCCAATAGTGCCTCAAATGAGGTTACCTCCAGCAGGAAAAATGTAACTGCCAATTTCATTTTTTTTCTTCAGAAACCAAACAATCCATCAAAACAAACTGGTCAGTTTGAGCTGCCTGTGCCTTGCCTATCCCAGGAACTGCTCTGAGTCTCTTGAGGAAGAGCAATTACTGATCCCCATCCTCCTCCTGTATCCACCTAAGGTGTTCCCTTCCCTGTACCAGAGCATAACAGCCCAAAGCCACAGAGGCACACAGGCATTCAAGGACTGTGGGTTTCAATAGGAGCTATGTGCCTAAATGCTTTTGTGCATCTATGCCTACAGGCTGTGCTGGCTGTGCCCCAAATCCCAGCTCCCAGGCTCACTGCCTAGGAGGAGGCTAATGAAGGGCAGGTGGCACAAGACCGAGCTCCTTCCCTGGGCTGTCTGACCCTGCAGCTGTGGGACAGTGAGCTGTGACGGAGATGAGTGTTCATTGTGGCAAAGGGAAAAGGTTTAGCATGGATGCTGAAAGGACCTGCCTCCTTTTTGAAACTCTCCTGCTTCAGCCTGGCTATCCCTTCCTAGCCAGCAGTTCCTCCCGTATAAATCACACTCCCAGCGCCCAATAGGATGGAAATGAAAGCCCACAGGCAACTGCATGAATGCTTGGCATGATAGCATAGAGTAACAGACAGAGACTTGGCCAGGATTTTTGTATGGATCCAACAGAAAGAAATTTCTTACTTGATAGGTATGTTTTATTTGACCATGTAGGCTGAGATGTATGATACTGTCCTACCTGGGTTAGACATCCACTGTTCATGCATAAGGACTCCCAGAATGATAGTCCTTACAACCTCAGACCTTCTAGCAGACAGGTGTGTTATAAAATCCTTGTTTATATTTTGTCATTATGTGTTTCTGTCATGGCATGGTTTAAGGACCAGCTCCTGTAAACTGTAAACAAATGGGTGCTTTCAGTCCCAAAGAGTGAGTCTGCAGTCTAGGTCCAAGATAAGGGCTTACAGCAAATGAAGAATAACTGTGAGCTGGAAACAAAGAAATAAATTTTTAATAATCATGATGATTACCCTTACACATCTGCTTGACCACTGCCTGTTTATAGGCAGGCTAGCAGAACATGTACTGTTGAGTTATTCTTAAGAGTAGAGTAAGTCTGGGAAATAAGGGAGAAACCAAAATGTATGTTGTGATGCAGCAGTAATTTCATCTGCTAATGCTTTGGGATTGTTTGATAATGCAGGTAACTGTCTTTGATCACAGTGTTGTAACCATCACCTTTAATTTGTAGCATAGAGGTTACTATCTAGCACCCAGCTAGCCAAATGAAATGTATGGCTTGATTAAGGATCTCTTTTGTCAGTAATTTGTGCCTAATGTTTTTAGCTTTCCCACGGGCCGTTACAGAAAATGGTAAATCTGGTTTAAATGAAACCTGATACTGTTAATGGTTTAATAGCAGCTGCCACAGGGTTATGGCATTTTTCAACAGATGCTTCTGTTTCATTGTAAGCCTACACTAAGTCTTAGAATATATTTACATAATTAATATAAAGTACACCTACATAATAAGGAAAATATTTATAATTTTAAAAGATTTCCCTTAATGACTTCCTCTCTCTTGCCATTATCTAATCCCAATATATAACTCAAAACAGGAAAGCATATTATTAAAAATAATAATTTATATTCACTTCTTCCAAAAAGGTACAGAATGCAGCACAACCATGAACACTTATCATCTCCTAACATGGCAGTTATTGGTATGGTGAAATTCCTTGGTTGCTTCAGAAAAAGAGAGAAAAAGCTTGGCTGCACTTGGATTATGCTAATTACCTTGCTGTTCAATAATGAGTATAAAAGAAGTGATGCTTGTATTTAAATATACACATTGAGAAAGAGCTGTGTTGGGGTGTGTACTTACATACAGAAATATTTGAAGCAGTACAGATTTCTGACTGGTTGTTGACTGCAGAATGTCATCTTGATTGAGGAAATTCCTGCTAATTTAAGAAGACTTGGGCATTTTAGGCTTTTCATAGTTGGCGATTGTTTTGCTTTGATGTCTTCTACTTGGAGGTCTTATTCTCAAGTTTCAAAAAGTACAGAGGGTATATCCTACTGGACACTCCAAGTCAAAATATGCCCTTGAATATTTCAGACTTCTGCAGTTCACAGGGAGGAGAGCAGGAGAAAAGGCTCCTCTTTCTCTACCTTGGCTGGAAAGCAAGGTAATATCGAGCAGGCAAGTGTACCAAGGCATTTGCTACCATGAACTGTGAGGACTGAAACAGGAACAATAAAATGTGAAAAACATTCAAATAACAGAACACTGTCTTTATTAAAGAAGAATCCAAGGTTGGATTTAAGAGATTAGGCAGTTCCAGTTCTCTCAGGAGAATGTGTAGGAATAGTGGTGAAGCAGATATTTTGCTGTGTGAGAGGCGTAGCTGATGTATTTGTTCCCCTTGTCTCCGGGTGACTACCCTTCATAGCTGTTAGCCTGGGTATGATGGTAGTCATATTCCATGATCTAGCTTTTGTATGGTTTGGTTTTATTTCCTTTTATTTCTCCTTTTGAATGTATTAGGACTGTTCAACGGGACTGGGTCAACCCTCACCTTAATTAAAGAAAACAGTTAAAACTGTGGCATAGAACCAGATTACTTTTTCTTTGTGCTTACCCTCCTTCCTTCTCTACCTGCCAAAAGCTTACAGACAGATTTACATAACTTCATATTACTTCAGGGTGTTTCTTCACAACTAGTTTTTCACTTTGCCATGGGAACACAATTGCCCTAGAGCCCTAAGCTCTTCCACAGTTCCAAAACACTCAGAAGAATATCTCTACCTATCTGATGGAAAGTGTAAACAGTGTTTGCCAGCCTTTGGTATGCTGAGAGTTTTTTACCTCAAAATGCTTTTTGACCCTACACTGAGGTTCACATAGTTTGCAATAAGAGCTTTGATTCAAAGGAGGAAGGCTATTGTGTACCAACATTATTCCCAGAACTGGGTGGAGAAGAGTTTGTGACTCAGTGAGGTGAAAGTCTACAAGTATTCTCACTGGGTATTTGGATGAGGTCTCCAAAGTTGCTACAAGACAAATCCAGTAGTGAGTCTCAGCAAGCCCTCACAGGGACACTTCAGATTTCCAAGATGGTTTGTCACTCTGTCCTAAAGTTTTCTAGTGGTAATGTTTTTACACCACTGGTAAATAAAGACAGAAAATGAATGCTTTCAGGAAGCCAAGGGGAAAACAAAGAAATCACAAAATTAACAATCAAAAAAGCACAGCATTTTTTTTCAGAGTGGATAATTGTTCAAATACATGACTTACTGCAAAGAGAAGAGTTGTTAATTGTTTTTGCATGCAAAATTGGTTCAAAGGTATGAAGTCTGTAGAGCTTCATATAATAAAAGAAAGTCAGTTCCCTTGTGATGTTTTTGTAACTAATAAATCTTTTTCTCCTTCTTTGCTAGGTTCTACCACATAGAAAAGCTATGAAGCCAGGAATGATATTCCTCTTTGAACTTTTCCTTCTTCGTGGGACCTATGCTTGGATTGATCAAGAAGTAGGATGGGGAGCTTTTCCCTTATGTGATAATAATTTTAATGTTTTGGAGGGAAAATTTAAATGTCCCTTCCTGAGAGGACATTATGACCCTAAAGTTGACCGATTCAAAAAGATTGAAAACTTTATTTCTCAAGACTTGGATCATTGGTTATGCAATCTCTACTTTCAGGTTTGTATTTAAAAAAAATAGTCCTGTTTGTTTAGTCACTGTTACTCAGAAGAGATTCTGATTCCTTCTGTCACCCTTAAAAGAAATACTTGTCTTTCCAAAAAGAAGCTTCTCAGCCTGCCCAGTGAGTATTTAAATCACATGCACCTCCAACTTTTACATGAAATTAGTAGATATTTTGCAGCTTTGCAGCTGGATTTTAGGATTATTTAAAACATAAAAATATTTCTTGGAGTGCTGGGTAATTGGATCAAAAGTTCAAATTCCGAGTTGGACCCTACCACTAGTATATGTTAATTTCCTCCACAGTTTTACTGAATCACAGAGATGCTTTCACATGACTACAAGATAAAATAATATTGTTTATGATATTGTTTTACTTGTATGTGGGAGACCTCCACCTAGTAAGCACGGTTCTGTTGTGGTAGGAACCTTACTTTTGAACAGTTTTTGGACATAATTCAGATGTGACATTGTTTATATGTCTTTAGTGAAAATGGACCTGAAGTAAGAACTTCTCTCCAGGGGAAACTTTTTTCTGGATGCGCAAGTTAAGGTGTTTGTTGTAGCTGAAATATGTTCCTTCACTCGGAATCTTATCAAGATCTTAAACTTATACCTCTTTTATAGTCATATTTTGCTCAGGAAAAAATACCAAAACAGATGAATTTTGAAAGCATCTCAATTATAACGTGGGTTTACTTAATAAAGATTTTAGTTTTCAGTTTTCTTGTAGTGATGATTTGCATACAATCTGACTTTTGGGTCTACAAGAGTAAAAGAAAGTAAAAGTAACTTCAGAAACACATAAAGTGATAAGAATTTATACAACAAATATACCTAATATATGCTAGGAAAGCAAATGTCAGAAATCATAGAGCTGTGGTAAAAAAATAACCCAGAAGAGCGAAAATGATTGGGGAAGGAGGAGGTGAAGATTCCAAAGCTGCAAAATTAGTCTTTCAAATCAATGCATAAGGTGGGATGATTTAATAGTCCCACCTTATACAAATGTAATAGATTTAATAGGGTATCTATATTTTCCCATAAGATTCTGAAATTGAATTATGAGTCACCTCCCCCCCGCCTCCCTATTTACTGGGATGTCTGCTTTAGTCAGTAAGCATGGGGAAGACATACATGGTAAATTTATGTGGGAGAAAACTGTAATAAATGGACTAGGGAGAAACAAGAACTTCCTAAAATTCTCATAGCAACCTCTTGGACTTCTAGGGTTCATAAACTGTGTACAAACAAGTATGTTCTAGCTTAGTGGAACTCTCAACTGCTTTCTTTTAATTTTTTTTCCTCCTCACTTAATAGATAATTAAACTGCCACAGGATTCAGATAAGCAAAGCAAGTGTGATATGCATCTTCATCTCCCACCTGAACTTCACATATATTCAAGTGTTGCTGAAAAGAATGATGTCTCAGAGAAGATTGTACAGCCTGGATCACAAGGTGATGGATTCAAACTTTGATGTTTTTATTCAGGTTTTCTCTGGAGAAACCCACAGTTTAATTTCAGTGTTGGCTAGTCCTTGCTGATCTTGTTAAGCTAGATTTTTTTCTACATTCGGATGTGGGTCCAATATGTGTTGTAGCAGGAATACTCTGATTCTTTTTATTAGGGTGGTTTAACTTTGTTTCAGGTGTGAGCAATTTAAATAAGCCTCATTGCTAAGGATTAAACTTTCCATGCTTGCCTATGCTTAAGGCTGAATAACGCTTGGAATGTCACAGCAGTAACAGTTCAGCTGCTTATGGCACCGAGCTTATAGAAAGAGATAAAAAAAGGTACTTTTCTTTTGTCTATTGCTTGAAGAACTTTAGCACCTCCCTGGGCTACAACAGGGACTTCAAATTTGGCAGGGAGATAGTTCTGGCATCAGAGGCATGCCTTATGCTACTCCTATAAAATTCCATTAAGATTCAATCAAGTGGTAATCCATAGGAAAGACAATTATCATTTGCTTGTGCACAGCAGACCTCCTCAGAAGCTTTTTTAAAACAGCTGAATGTTCCTTTTAGACTGAGCATTCTTCCTGGCCTCTGTGAGCCTTCTGATGTAGATACACTGAAGACATAATTGACTATATTGCAATGGACTCACAAATGGCTCCTCTACTGTTAGAAATCCAGTAATGAGAAGAATGGCAGGACACTACTGTTGTTTTTTTTTGGTGTTTTTTTTTAAGCCTGTGGGATGTGACTGCCATGGACAAAAAGAATTCATTTTTCCTAAACAGATATTTCTATATTTTCTCTTGTTTAATGAACAAGGATGCAGTCAACCTACAGATTGTAGTGTATCTGTGAATATGATGTAAAGATCTGAAATAGAGACTTAGTTCTTCAGGACAGAGGTTCCTCAGTCATTTGAGAACAGTAGCAGTGATACACTGTAGATGGCATGGGAGGGAAACAAAAAAGAGTGTATTGCAAGGGAAGAAAGAGAACAGATAAGCAATAATCATTTAGCATAGTAAATGGGCAGCTCAGGTTGGAAGTAAAACATGAAAGCCAGTAGAAGTATTTTTCAGGCATTGAGTAATGATTTAGGAGACAAAGAAAATGAGGTTTGCCCTGAGACGCTTTTAGGCTAAGCAGCAATTGTACTGTGATCAAAAGACTTTTATAAAATCACCTTGAAACCAGAAGCATGGAGGTGTAAACATATACTGTGCTGTAAGGTCCTTTTTGTTGTCATTTATCTTCTAGATATCTGCCAAGGTGTTTTAAGGTGCAGCAAACCATGAATAGCAGATTCAAAAGATGGAGTTTCAGGCAACTCTTCTCAACAGTGAAAAATTATGGACAAACTCTTATTGAATCAGACTTGTTTGGTCCTACCATCAGTCTTCATATACATTTGGAAATGCACATAGAAGATGCAGATAAATAGGTCACGCTTTCTGGAAATACATGGAAAAACTCGTGATACACAGTTTGAAAAGTCAAGAAATATGTATTTTTAAGAACTGAGAAAGAGTATTAGTGTATGTCTTATTTTGCATGCAGACCTCTGAAATTTGCTGATAAGGTGATCATGGAAGATCTGCAATTTCCCTGCCAAACAGATTTGCACTAAAAAAAATTCTAGGAGTAATTTTTGATACTGTTTATATTTATTTATTTTTCATAGAGCCTTCTTTAAAGATATTATTAGCTGCCAATATCCCCCATGGGTTTGTTTTTTAATGTATCTATGCAGTGCTACAGTATGCTGTTTCTGCTGGTGATATGTTGCTAAGAGATTTAATAATGGGTAAACAAACACAACATGTGGTAATCCATTTCAAATTAAAAGTTTATTAAATGCTAGCTTGATGACTTTCTGGCTATTTACAATTAAAGGAACAAACCTTAGAGAACTGGAGATCACGTGTTGGAAATCACAACTTCAACATTTCCCACAGAAAAATGTGTTTATGATCTGTGGCAAGCTGTCGCACATTGATATGCCCTATAAATACAGTATTATATCTGTTAAACCAGCAAAAGCAGAGGGGGGGAAAGCTCTGTTAAAGTGGCATTAAGGTTGAGACACAAACCAGAGAAAGCAAGAACAGTCTAAATGAAGACGGGTGCTCTGTAACTCGCTCTACTGCAGTAGTCAAAATAGTGAGTGATCTTATATATCAATACCATATGTGGTGCTGCAAAATAGAGCAGGTTAGGAGATGGTGTTTTAACCTTCACTTCAAGTTTGTCTTGGTTTTAGAAGTTTAAGACAGAACCTTCATATTATTTCCATTAACTAACTCCAGGCTATGTTATTCTTCTAAACCACAGCTCTCTGTTGGGCTATGTATGGCTCTTCCCTGCTGCACAGGCTCTCTCCTCCAGAGTACAGTGCATGGGAATGCAACGTAATATCTCCCATTCTACCTCCTTTGTAGATCACAGATGTACATTATCAGATCTAGTGTGTCTCTTAGTCCAAACCATATCTTCTCTCCATTCTTTTGAAGTGGTATTCCATAAGAGGCTCATGGTAGAAGACAGCTTCTGCTTACACTACCACCATTCTTTGCTTTTCTTAAGAAAATCTTCTGTAGTTCATCTGTTGCCCATTAAGGGATCAACAGTCTCTGTCAATGAATAAATGAGGGGTTTTGTGTGGAATTCATTAACCATTTTGTGGAAGGTGGTAACAACTCTAATGGAAGCAGCTTAGGTAGGAAAATTTGATGCAACTAACAGAAACGTTGCCTTGAGAGACTTAGGTCTAAGTAACATGGGCTTCTAAATGCATGAAAACTTCAAAAGTGTGAATCTTCATATAAAAAACTAAATATACAAATTCATCAAGAAAACATGCTTTCTCACACTGAAATCTACAGCAAGATCTCTTTTGAGTTTAGTGGCCATAGAAAAGGGGATTCACATGTGCAAAATGTCAGCTTAACTAAGTCTTTTTTGGAAGTGGCAGCTCTTTCATCTTCAGAAGTAGCTAGACAGCACTCATGTGTTAGTTCTCCAGCTCAAACACGTTTAGGTCAGGCTCAGGCTGATTTGGGAAGTGTTACTCTTCACTTGTGGGGAACATTCTTCTAAATGCTTGCTCTTCTGTCTGTGCTGTTGTTCTGACTTGATATGCAAACACTTACTTGTGCCCATCTGAAATTGTGATCAAATAAAACATGCAGGTGGGAAACAGGATGATTTTATCCTCTGTATTGTTTAGAGCCAAAGAAAAACGTTTTTCATTCCAGCTGACTTACTCACACCACTTTAATATTGGCCAATCTGAAGTCCTGAATTTATGGTCAGCATTGTACCAGCATATACTGATGTCCAATCAAGACCTAAAAAGAGTGTTTACAACGCAAAAGATTTGTCACGTAGAAAGACTCTCACTACCTCAGCTGTCTTTGTACTAAGCACCCACATGCAAATTTTCCATGTCTAAAATGTTCTTTCCGGACAGTCTGCTTGTCCCTCACTCCTCCCCATTCTGCTATACTTTGGGAAGTCAGCAACTCAGCTGTTTGAGAATGGTTTTAAAGACTTTCTTTGTAGCTCATTTCCCCCCTGGACTTTATTTTTCCCTCCTCTTAAAAGGTTGTCTAACAGCAGTTAGGTATCTAACAGCAGTTAGGTGTCTAACAGCAGTGCATGTGGCTCCTGCGGCCTATGCAACAACCAGAGGAAAAGTTAGAACCATGGAAATGTTTTATTTCCCAAACTATGAGCTTATAATAGAAATAAATATCATACAGAAAGATCATTTTCAGGCGTGCAGTTTTTTTGCTTATTTACAATTTACAGCATTTTTATGTCCGTCTTCCTTCTGTCTGTCCGCGTGGTTGTTAATAATAAGGTTGGTTTGTACCACTTGGCTTCAGCAGTCCTTGAAACTCACCAGAGTTGTAAAGCTTTAAACAGTTGCACAGGTCTTTAATTGTAAATTAGTTTTGACAGGACTGCTAAGACAAAGGCCTGGTCCATCCCGTCCTGATGCTAGTCGACAACCCCTTACTGCTCTTGGAGCAAGGAAACATGTGGAAGGAATTGTTCTTTTACATTTCACAGCTTGTCATTTCCTCTGCAGGGCAACCTCTGACCTCCCCAAAAGATCCTGACACCCATAAGGGAAGTATTCCCACTGTTGTAAAGGAAGTGGAAAAGCAGTTTAATGCTGCAAAAGGAGGAGAAGCGTGTGTGTCAGAAGAAGCTGGGAGGAAAAGAGAAGAGCTTAAAATGCTTCCAGCAGGTTAGGACTTTTATTGCGTTAATTTACTGAAAGTTTGCAAATAGATCTGCTTAGCATGTGTGTAAATACCCCCATTTGCCTTCCCCCTCACCCTGTGATATCATGTCATCATTAATTCACTGGGCAAAGGAAGTGATGGAAGAGTTTAAATCAATTGTGAGGGATCAAAAGCATCTTAGGCAAAAAGGTACAGAAGTGGTGGGCTCCCCTGTCTAAAAAGTGTTTGTAGGCCAAATGTGTTAGCAATTACAAGGTGTGTGTGCAGCGCACTGACAACATTAGATTATGGCTGGTGTTTCCGTGACATTTTTACATCCTTTCATTTTATTTGGTCATTTATATCCATGGATCACAACATGTTGCTGTTAGGTGCTTGGGAAGTACTTTTTCTTCCTGCAGCACTTTAATAGCAATATCCTTTGTTAATTGTGCTAAACCAATTTACATAAAAGTGCCTCTCTGTATTTGTATCACGTAACATTTACTTCTCGAATTTGGGGTTTCTTTTGAAGGTAAAGCCTTTCAAGTTGCTATGGTGGGGTTCTTTCTTGGTTTTCTTCATTTGTTTATTTGTTCTCATTGTGGGTTTTTTGTTGATTTATTTGGTTTTTGTTTGTTTTTTTGTTTTTAAATCCCAGGTAAAAAGCATTTGTCTGACAATTGAGTAAAATAACCCCTATGTCCTGTCCTAAACTCAGATACCACCGTGATGGCCAGAGGCAGACTTAATATGGGACAGGGATGTTGGTATCAATGCACCAAGAATGTAGACAACCATTCCCACTTCACAACCTGGGTAGTGACCTGTGTTCTCGGTCCCATGAGAGACAAATGGTAGTGCAGGCATAGAAAGTGCCACCACCCATGCTCCCATTTTTTCTCTCACCCACTCGTGTCCCCCAGGTGTCAGCCAGCCCTCCTGGCCACAGCACAGATGTTTAGGATGAATAGGCAGATTGAGTAGCTGTGGGAGTGGGGAGGGCATCAGGAGCTGACCTGAGATCTGCACTCATCGCTGCTCGTCACTCTCTCACTCACCATGAACAATGCAAGGGTCAGCTTTCATTTTAGGGAAAGGACAACTCTCACTCCCCTGGCCAATGTGTAGAGATGAAAGTGCAAGTGAAGATAAATTAATCTCTCCTTTTGAAGGGAGAGAGTGACTCTCCACCTGTAACAGGAAGCTATAATAGGTCATGGTTAGACACTGAACTGAGAAATATTAGGTGAGAGATAGATACCTGAGGTCTGATAGCTACCTCTTATCTGTGCAAACAGCGGCTTGTAGTTGTCTTCAAGTCTGCGGGCTCCCAGAAATGATGCTGTAGAATTTTGGATGCATGTCAATTTGAAGCCAATTGACATGCCAGCTTTCCTTTTACAGCAGCCCATGAAACGTCATTCAAAAATAATTTCTTTGGAGCCCTCCTTCTCTGTTGACTGCTCAAGAAGGCTAGGGCTATGTATCTGCTATTATAGGTGCATTTGTTGAATATCTCATGTTAAGTGGGCATGAAAGAGGTAGGATATAGTATGGCATTGCTAAGTTAGGATTCATAAATGCTGAATATTGATGTTGACTATCATAGATGTGTAAGAAGTAGAATACAGAGCTGGTGTCAAGTCTTGTTAAATAATGTTGGTGACAAAAGGTTAAGCACATTACAGAAAAAAAGCAATAAAAAATTCCAATCTTTCAAGGGTTCTCATTCATATTCTAGTAAGACTGACACTTGACATCTAGATATTGTCCTTCTAAGAATATGATCACAGCCCTAGAGAAATTTTTTTCCAAATTCTATATTAGAATCTGTTTTGAAATTTATTTAGTTCATTAGTTGTGCAAAGCATCTTAGAATACTCACAATAATAAGTAACTTGCATGAAGGAAATAGTTTTAAAATAGTGTTTAATGGTGTTTGACATTTGCTATTGGGTGTTTTTAATTTCTTTTTAAAGATTTCTTTTCCTTGGAATATTTGGGTATTTCCAGCTTTAGACTGTCTCAAAACCCAATTATTAGTTGTGCAGGAGGACAGCTATTCCTTTTCCCCTCTTCCCACTTATCCCATCACTAATGTTTATCTAGATCTAAAACTACCATATTGAATTTTTATTCAAATTACTTTTGTGGAGTTTGGTAGAGATCCAATGCCAAAACCAGCATTTTATAACCCGTATTTTCAATTCAAGAAGGTCTCTTACAAATATCCTGAAAAAAAGGAGTTGCAGAAGTGGGCTGATTTTGAAAAGTACTTAATTACCACAACTTTTGTCAAAGCAAGGTTGGATTCAAAGCACATTATTTTGTATCATCAGAGGATCTGACTCAGTATATCCTAAGAGATAATACTATAACTCACTCAGTATTTAAAAAAAAAACACAACAAATTCTGAGTTTACCTGAACTACAAACAGAACTTCAAAAGCATCCATGGATTTTGAAATAGGTGAAAAAAGGTTTTACTTATCTTGATTCACAAGGCAACATAAGTTTTTGTTGATGAACTCAATTTCTGATACTTGCTGAATCTATTACCTGTTAATTTAATGAAAAACTTTTTTTCAAAAGGCACATTACCATAGCACAGATTTTTTCTGATGGAACACTGTCAGTAATGTAACCTTTCTACATCTGTGGAAAAATGTTGGAAAGTTTATTGTCCTTTTGTGACATCAAAAGGCATTTCTGTCTGGATAAAGCTTCAGAATAACATCTAAGCAAAAATGGCATCAGGCTAACCAAGAGGCTTAGTACACTAGCAGATAGTACTCAGGACTTATTAAGATGTCACCTTCATATCAAAGTATCAAACATAGGCACAGCTCCATTCTAATTTTATCATCATCTTTGGAGAGAAGGCTTTACATTTAATGTAAAGCATTAAAATGTACTTATATAAGCAACGAATAGTTTTGTTGAGAGGGTTATATTTATACTCATAGCCACTTCCGAAACAATTTTATCCAAAGCAATGAATCTTCATTGTTATGCTTCTCATTATATGCAGTGAGTTTCTTTTCCTTCTGAGGTGTTGTTTGCTTCTACCTAACAATCATATGCAGATGCAAAAATAGTTACCTAAACCAAAAAACCTGAAGTTGTTCTCATTGGTGATTCTTCATGGGTGCCACTTTAAAGGGAACAAAGTGATGTTTTAAAATGAAGATTGCTGACCCCTTATTTTTTCTACAGATAGGGCCCCAGAGGCAGACCCTCAGATGGTTGAACTTTCTCTTTCTCTGCTTGTCTTTTCCTTCTCTGAGCAGGACTTCATAATAGATTGGATTGATTCTTTCAAGTGGGATCAAATCCAGCTCCCTCTTACAGTTGCGTCATCCAAACAATCCAAACTCTTCTATTTTCCAGCTCTTACCATGCTATTTGATTTCTCACAGGCTGGGCTATTACTAGGGAGGGAGTCCAGATAGGATCCCCATATTATTTTCTGTCCCTACAGTATCTTAACCAAGCTGCTTTGTCTGCTGCCCCGCTCCTGGATCACACTACTCTAAAACCCTTTCCCACTGATGTAAAGAGAGGTTGCAGCCATCAGAAAGGAGTGCACTTCCCTTCTCTACTTTGCCTCCATATAAGACATAAGTAGTTTCCATCAAATGACTGTAATTTCCTAGCTGTGCTATTTCTTTTTGTCCATATTAAAAAAAAAACCCAACCTTTTAGATTCTCCTGTCCCCTTCTCTCATTCCATCTCCCAATACACGAAAAAATGGCACAGTATCTACCTACCTACATGCAGCCTCTGAAAGTTTTATATCATAGAGAATCTTTTTCCCAACCCTCTTTAATACTCATTCAGAAAGGATGTGTTTACATTAACGCTTAGGTATTTAGGGCACTTTTGAAGTGAATGCCCTGCCCCAGTTGTCACTCTGTTGTTCACTGTAGAAAGATCTCAGAGGACAAGCACTGGCCACCTTTAGGGTGAAACTGAGCAACCGGATGTGATTTAGATGTGTGTATCAGGGCCATCGGTTCCCAGGACTAAACTAAAACTAGCCTGACATGAAGTCTGCAACACACAGCAGGGTCCCCACTGTTAGGGGGTGTCCTCCAAACTGCTGGTTTCATTCTACATGTTGTGCCTGTATTTGTTGCGCCACAACGCTTGTTACAGAAGACATAGCCAAAGACGATAACTTCCAGACTGAATGTAGAGGATAAACAAAGGTTATGTTTTACTCTGGAGCCCCTGGTGGTCTAGTGGTAAGGGTGCGGCGCTGTCACCGCCGAGGCCCGGGTTCGATTCCCGGTCAGGGCCACTCCCGGGCAGATGGAGCTCGTTAGCCCTTAGAAAGGCAACCCACCTACGTCCTAAGGACCTCACTGCCACTGTCCAAGCTCGCTTGGCCCCGGCAGATGAACCTTAGGATTAAAGGGTGGGCTCAGTTCCGCGCACACTGTGTCTCACCTAAAAAATCCAATGCGCAGGCTGGAAGGTGTAAAGACCTTCCCCGGATCTTCGCTCGTGAAGACTGGCCATTATGTTTTACTCTACAAGGGTTAAGAAGCAGTAAGACACCCTCTAATTTTAAAGGTCATGCTACTACGCTCAGCTATTGCCCAGAGAAGGCTGATGCTGAGAAAGGTAACAGAGCAGCACCAACATTTTTCTATTCCAACAACTTTCTATTTTGTTTTAAAAAGTAGATCCCAACTGAACTCAGGGACTTGATGTAGTTAACCCTTTCTTTGTATCCCATATCGGGTGTGATCTGTGTGACATCTAAACTATTTGGTTGGGACTTAACCTGACCCAGAAATGACTGCTCTCAGCATTGTTAAGGTCTGGAAATAAAATTTGTCTCACCATGCTTTTCCAAATCCATGCCCATTCCACAGTGGTGGTAAAAAATGCCACCCATTTTTTCCTATCTGTCTCATGAAAATGAAAGACATTTAAACTATTCTGCTGGACTTACCTGATACAGACATAGACCTTTGGATTAAGAATTTTATTGTTGTTTCCAGGCCCTGGTGCCATCATATTTTCCTGCTCTTATGCATATCTTTCTTGACTTCCAAATAAACTTATTAACAGAGAGTCTACACCTGCCACTGTAGCTTTATCATAGCTATGATACCTGCCTTCGATCATTGTTTCTTGGTACTATTTTCTCCTCCTCAAATTGTTCATTTTTATCATGAATGGTATTATGTTCCCCTGTCAGGGAACAGAATGTATTTTGAGTCAATTTACTAAAATAGTCCCTACTAAGTGTTGTATCTGGACAAAGTTGACACCTTTGACATTTTCTAAAATGGCAAAAATAACTGTATTTAAGGTATGATTTACGAGTATTGTATGTCAAAGAAATTTCTATGCTATTACAGTTTCTGATGCAGTAGTCTCAACTCTTTCAATGAACAAATTGCTGATAATGCAGCTAGTTAATGCTTTATTAGTTTTCTGTGGTCAATTATAAAAAGTTATAAAAAAGTAAAATGCAATTTAATAATAAAGAACTGTGTGATTCTTGTTTCTCTCTCAGAACTGCTTTCTTTTGTGCATATGGAAGAAACAATTTCTACATGGCTCAGTTTTATAAAACTCATTTCCACCCCCCAACTAAGAGCAATCTTATGATTAAAAAGTAGACTGGAGTCTTTAAATGTCCTTCTGATTGCTGGCCTCTATTAAAAACTTCTTAAAATAATAGATAGGTTTAATTCCTCAAGCCAAAGAAAAATCATATCATCTTAACTATTTTCCATATTTATTATATTGATGAGACTGGGCTACAGAGGAAAAAAAAAAAAAGGCAGCAAAATCTCTTGTATTGCAAGTTTTAAATGTACCAGGCTAAGGTTTACTTAATTAGAACCTCCAGGCAATAAAGGAGCCCTTTTTTAAATTCTGTGAATCTTAATATGCTAAATAATGCAAAGCTTCAACTCTTCAAGCATGAGACACACATCTGGCAGCTTAACATTTAAATTACAGAAAAAAACCCACTTCAGTAGTAATTTTCATGAAGAAAAGAATGGGAAATGTATTACAACTAAATTTAATTTCTTTTTAGATTTTTCATCCTAATTGCAAGTATTTCCCATCTTCTTTTTATTTATTTATTTTTATACAGATTTTTTCTGTACTTTTTATTGATCTTTAATTTGAGCAGCTTCTTACTGTTACAGCCATTGAAGAATTACATTGTGTTTTTACTTAGCAAAAATTGTTCAGAAAAATCTATGAGGAATTAAAGTAATGAGCTCACTGGTATAGAAAGAAAAGACCATTCAGAGCATTACAAATAAAATACAGAAAGAGCATGTCATGATTAAATAACAGACTTGAGTTTCTTGTCCCACCCATTTCTTAAATGTAGAATATTATTGTTTTCTTTATTCTTTTTATTGTCTCTTTTTTTTGGCCAAGATAATTACCGCTTTATTCATTTGACTCCAAAAACATTGTTAAAGTATTCATTATTTCAGCAGGGCTGTTTGGAAACCCAGTTCTGTGTGCCAAAGGGGAAAAAAAAAAAATTGAACAAAGAAAACCACAGTAACCATCTTTGCAAAGGTATATTTATATTTTAATATGTGTTTATGGGTTCATACGTGTATCACATACATGGAATATGCAGAGACAATTTGAACTGATTATACGGCATGTGTGCATATGTGTGACATTCCCAGCAGCTGTATTTTATGTTGTTTCACTGATTTCAGTAGACCTCCTCTTTCACCCCATATGGCACAAATACCTGCAAATGCCTCATGTTCAACATCTACAACATACACCTATACATGTGTATATATATATATATATCTGTAGAAAGTAAGAAAGATATCCAACTGTGACATTGTACATGTGTATATTGTACGTGTGTATATCAACAACTGTTACATCTAAGAGTCAATCCTGCCTATACTGTGATTTTAAATACACTTGATTGTCTTTTACTAAGTGGGACTGGAAACAACTTAAAAAAAAAAAAGAAAAAGAAAAGAAGGATATAATAATTAAGTTTATTTGTGGATTATCATCCACATGCAATACATTAAGAAGTGTGTAATACAGACCTTTACTTGTGCCACACTACTACTTCCTATGATGTGACATTACATTTTTGTTCATTCCACAGGTCACTGAGACTTGAGAGATACATGACTTGTGTTTTCTAAGCAATGTTTTTTCGAATGCTTTTCATCCCTGTCTCATTCTTGATCCACAACCATGCCCATACAAGAAAACTTCTCTCTCTCTTCTGAAGAACACTTCCTGGGGTGTTTAAAATACCTTTCCATGTCATTCTTCTTGTGTCTATTATTTCTTTTTCTCTACTTTTCCCCCTGTTTTTATTATAGCATTTATCATACTAATATTTCCGGAAGGTAGTAGAGAAATAACCACCTATTTATAACTAGGATGGAGGAAGAAGAATGATTTGCATGAAGTCAGACAGAATCCTGTTGGGAGGAGGACCAAAACCCAGCTCCTTCCTTTCCAGAGCTTTATCTTATGCACCAATATAAAAATAATTTATGTTTTGTGGTTTGTTTGTTTTTTTTTTCTTACAGAGGATTACCAAGATTGTCACAGCAGTGCAGATGAGCACTGTGACTCGTTTTGGCTGAAGGAAGTCCAAGGAGGACATCACAAGGTAGAGGTCTTGATATGGACATCATTGTCTCCCTTAATGTATGCAGAGAAGCCATTGGATCTTCTACTGTGCTATTTGGGAATAATTTGTGGGCTTGCTTCTTGTTGTTGTTGTGTTTCTTTAATCTACCCCTGTGAATTTATAGCCACAAAAAGGCTTCACACGGCCAGATGTATTGCTGTCTCCTGCATATATCAATAGGGAGCTAATCTCTCCAGCAAAGAAACTTCAAAGGAGTAGTAGGAAAGATCATCTTAATGGTAATCAAATACCAGTAGCTTGATCAAGTCTGTGCTGCAGGTTGGTATTATTTCAGTAATGTTTAAACATGAGGTGCATCTATAACCTTCAAGCTCTCATGTACTTGTGCAGAAGACCTCTAGTATCAGATACTTTTAGTATAATATTTGTAGTATCTTGGTCAAGGACATAATTAATTTGTGAACAAATATCATGTCATCAGTACAAGTTTCTATAAAATCATATCTGCATCATGACAACACTTTCTGGGTGAAATGCTACTGAAACTTCCAGGTTTACTGTAAATCCTGACAATTAAGACACAAAGAAAACTCTGTATTCCTGAAAATTGCTTCTACCTGCATTATATTACTAAATTAGTTATTTTCCAAGGAAGGTTGCAATTTTTCTCTGTAAGTGTTCTCCACTTCTGTCCTTAAATCAGCATGGCTGCAGAGAACTATAACCACAAACATGAATATTCAAATTAATCATCCTGATAATTTGTCTCACCCTGTTCTAGATATACTCTGAAACATTTTTAATGCTTTTAATTGCGCATGGAAGAAAATTTATGTGTTTATACTACGTGTTTATACCTGTACATGTGCCGTGGCACAAACATAAAACAGCTGAGGATTATTATTGCAACTTTAGTAGTGTGATGATCTACTTCTCTGAGCAAAAATAGATTGGCCAGCTGGACTTTCCCTCCATTTTAAATGGATAAGTTTTTAAGTACTTTATTTCTTCAGGAAGTTAAGGATAACTTGGAGAAAACAGAGTTATATATACACATAACTGCAGACTGATGTGTGCATGCATGTGTGTGTGTGGCCTTATATCTATAGGAAGGATGATCTGAGGACTGATGGAGTGGGTGAAGTGGGTAAAGCAACCCAACCCATGGGAGTGGCAGAGTGAAATGCGTTTTCTACAATCCCATAAAAACACGACGCCTTTGAACAAAATGCCACGTTCTTAGAGGAACCTCAGTTGTGGGTGGCTCTCAAAGCCACATTAAAGTGACCTGGTTTCAGTGAGGTGCGTAAACCCATGGGGAATTCAGCACTGTCTAGTCCCTTGGGACTCAGTGAAATGAGTGAAATGACAAACTTACAGTTATTGACATGTTTTTATAGATTTCTGAACTGAGCCTCTTACGAGAATGCTTCTGCACAAGACAAATGAGAGCACGTGAAATATCCTTTCAAAGATTGTAAAAGCCCCTCTTTTTTAATGGCATGAGTTAACCCTAATGTTCAGAGAGAGCCTTGTTATAGCATGTTCAAGATTTAGGCAGTTGGTCTGATTTATATCATTTGGACCTACTTGTATCTCTGGATATCATCTTCTAAAATAATTTTACATAACAGTCATATTTAGGAAGCAATTACAAACTAATCTAAAAAGAAGACTTAGGAAGAAGACAGAAATTTCTGTAGTGGTTTATTCTCTTTAGCAATCCCTTTTTTTCTTGTAAACATATTTTTAATTTTTTTTTCTTTTAAATAACAAAAACAAACAAAAATATCTTTAAGTCTGCCCTCAACTTTTTTGGGAATATGGATATTACTGCTTTACCCACCCTACCCCCAAATGCATCTATGCTAAGGAGTTACAAATAGTCTCTCATGGGCATTAGCCATTAGTTTTTGTTGCAGCGAGTGTGCGTGCCACTGCATGTATTCAAGATATTGAATGGTAGCAATAAAGGAGAGGATGCTCATGGTCAGTGACTTCTGAGAGAAATAAAATATATTCTCTGGTCATAATCCCATCTTCATGCAGATGACTGAGTTTCTGGTTTTGTACTTTAGACAAGATCAAACACAGTCTCAGAGAAATTAGCTCATAATACTCTCTAATGCCTTTGGGATTTATGTCTTAAATAATGTCTTTATATCTACTTTGCACAGGGATAGTTTCATGGAGACAATCAGCAAGCAAGGCACCTTGCACACACTACCTGCTCTGAAACTTTGACTTTGTCTAGGGAATTAAGTTGGGCAGTTGTGTGTCTGGGTAAAATTTGCCTTTGAGAGCGAAATGGTTTACAGAGTTAGTTAAAAAGAAAAAAAAACCTTTGTCGTTTTCATAATTAGCAAAATGTAAAGTGATGTGACTACATCTTACGTCAGTGCTTTGTTCCCTGGGAACTCTAAGATTTTTTTGAGATCTACAGAGTTAACTTCATGTTACTGCAGAGTAAACTTCATAAATATGGAATTTGAATAGGATCTTAAATCATCTAGGTTATCTTCTAGTATGGGCTAGAAAATTTCAACCACATGCTCTGTAAAGTTGGCATCAATGGATGTAGAAGCAAAATTTGTCTTTGTGGTTACCTCTAAATAGTGTATGTTCCATCTCCCTGTCTAACAGGAAGACCAAAAAGGGAGTTCTGTTTCTAGTTCAAACAAAATATGTTTTAATTTCCATCCCTTTGTTTTCTCTGGGCTAACACCAAATGTTACCATACCCTTTACAGAGTTTGGTATTGTGCTTGGGAAGGTATTAATAGATAGTCTCATTGAAGTGTCCTGCAGATGTCTGTCTGATAAGTTAGGACTTCTTTGTGTCTCTTGGTGGAAGTGATGTTTGTCTCTTTGCCCAGAGGTGATAACACCAAGCATGCAGGGCATCTGATGGTCACTTCAGAGAAGCAATGCCAGTGTTGAATCAGATCCTGTGCATGCAAAAATGTTGTTCCAGAGATGAGCAGAGATCTGGAATCTCAATTTTGTATCTCAGCGAGTAGTTTAAACGAGCATAGACAGTACAAGCAGTGAAAGATGTAGTACTGTCCCTCTCCTCCTCTGTGCTGGCACCAGTACGGGGTGGCCTGTATAAGAATGGGTCCAGCTGAGAGCTAACCCATTTAAATAAAGGAAAAAGAATGAAGCCAAACAGCATTAATTCCATACCCAGATTAGTTCCCTCTGTATGGCTTTGTGCTGACAGAGTGTGGTATGCAACACAGGAAAAAGCAAGCAGGTAGAGGAAGACTGGAGGACTGCTGGTGTTAGCATTAGCTTACACCTCCTTGAGAGGGTTTGTCAAACCACAGCCTTATAGGAACATAAAGACATTCAGGGAACAATACTCTGTGTGCAGCTCTGGGCCCCACCAGTTAAGAAGGTTGTGAAGATCCTTGAAGGTGTCCTGAGGAGGGCAACAAAGCTGATGACAGGGCTGGAAGGCCTGTCCTGGGAGGAGCAGCTGAGCTAATTGCCTTAGTGTTCTAACTTGTCTTTTCTTTTAATTTAAAGATCAACTGGAATAACCCGCCTGACCAATGCCATGAAGAAAGATCAGGTCCTGAGAACAATACAAGCCAAGAAGAGAGAAAACATCTGTAGAGAGTAATTTTTATTTGGAAGAGTTAGAGAAATATACTTTTTCTGTGTGGTAAGTGATCTCAGCATCAAATAGTTTCACAACCCAAAAAATATGCCTTGCTATTCTTGTATTTAAGAGGTACCTACATTTAGATGAATGTTATTCGACTGCAAAAACCCCACACATGGGTTTTCTTTGACTCCTTAGTATTACTTATGGTAGACCTTTATTTAAAAAAAAAAAATTGGAAGCACTTTTTGTTGAGAATGTAATTTTGACATTGCTGCATTGCTTTGAGAAGCTCTTTCAGAGGAGTAAATACAAAAGGATTTCTAGCATAATCTTTTCAACATTTTAAGAGTAATACATTATCTTTCTTGGATGTTACTTTGACTATTAGTTTTATCTGTTATGGAATACACATACGGGAAATGTCTTAAAATGAAAAGATAAATTAAAAAGTGAAACTAAAAAGACTGCATCAAAATGAAGTCTTTACAGTTACTTATATTTCCTGGAATTTCATCTTCTAGGTAATTGCAAAAGCTAGACAGTTATTTGTAATTAGTAGAAAACAATAAAGGTCGTTTCACTAAATGAAATGACCGGATAGTCTTTCACATAGCTCCATATTGTGCTCAAAACCCAGCCCTCAAAACATCTCTGGCACCTATGGTCTTCTGCAAATCACTCCTTAGGATTTCAAATACAGTAGCTAGTAAACTAACATCTCAGTAGAGTGGATGTCTGTGAAAATTTAGTTTTAAAGTACTTCCCTATCAAGACATGAGTCAGGTTTATCTCATGGGCAAACCCAGCAGCCTTCAACATCAGTTGTCCTGTTGTTCCCTGCTCTCACTTGCCGCATTCACTTGCTGCCTTTAAAGTTGGCAGAAAGTTTGGTAACTCCTTACAAACACAAAGTACGTTTTCATTATAGAAATCTGAACTCAGCCCTAGGTGTGGTTAGCCCTGAGTATTGGAGGAGACAGCAATCAGGTGGAAAAAACCCACACATTCATATAATTAGGCTGTTATAATTCTGCTGAATTTAACTGTGGTTATTTTTGACAATTAAGGACTCCCCCATCCTGGCCATTATAGGAGAATAGATTCTAGAGTAGCAGTTCTCATCCAAATATCCTTGTCAGCTCCCACTGCTTCATTTTACCTACCTTAATTTTCAAATTAAATTAACCAAATTATCATGAATTATCCATCTCAAGGTGCTCGTTTTCAGTACCAGAGAACTTCACCTTCTCTCTTCCAAACATTTAATTGTAACATTTAATTGTATACGCCCTATTCCTGGAAGTGTTCAAGTCCAGGTTGGATGGGGGCATGGACATCCTGGTCTGGTGGAAGGTGTCCTTGCTTATAGGCTAGTATTTTGTTATTTCAGTGTGCCATTCTATGTACTATGTCCATCATCCTGTTTGAAATAAGGACAGATTCTTGCTTTAGTTACTTATGTATTTTGTTAAAATCCCATGGGTTTAGAACAAAGTAGAACTTCACTTTCTGCTTCACTTGTGGTCATCATCTTTACCAGAAAGAAAAAAAAAAAGTAAAAAAAATTACTCCCCTCTTGGTCAAGTAATATAGATATGACACATAGCATGCCATGTAAAGAATGTGTCCCTAAAATGTATATTTTAAACTTAAGTTAATTCATTTTCCCTGAGTGATTTAAGGAGAATTTGATACCTTATGAGTTGTTAGTTCCATTTGTTACCATACCAGCATGATGTTTCAATTGTTACTCACTGCTCTCTGTCTCCTCCTTTCCTTCTCTCCTACTTTTCCATCAAAGGGCATCAACTCCTCTTTGTCTGTTTCCAGACCTTCCTTTCTTCTATGATTGCTACCTTTTAAAAAAAGGCAATGGAAGATAATTAGCTACTACAAAAATTTTTAATAGCACTGTAGATCTGGGGGCAGCTTAGATCTCCATAAACTTCAGAGTTTTAGATGCTCCAAGATGCAATCTGAGCAATTTCCTTGATCTTTTATTGCAGCTGGTAAATCATTTATTGGGCTAGGTTATTTTACAAAATCCTCTTTAAAAACAAAATCCCATAAAATGTATTTATCATAAAATACTGCACAACCAACAGTCTTCAAAGTTGTACATACCCTGTATTAATTAAAAGCTAGTGTTGTACTGTGACAAGTTAAAAGTATCCACTCTATCTCAGTCTCTCTCTTTTCCTCCATTCTCTCCCTGCCTCTCCCTGTAATTTTTCTCTCTCTTCTTTCCTTTCTCTCATATTCTGCTTTCTTGTAGGGCTTGCCAAAGGGGAGATTGGCGAGTACAAGCAAGACAGTCTTTTGTGATCACAAATATTTTTCTGATAATTGTGATGTTTTTTGTTTCTGTTGCTATAGCACGCTTGTCCTTTTTCATTCATATTAATTTGACAGCGGTGTCTCATGACTGTAGGCCATAGTCAAACCTCCTTACAGTGGGCATTACACACATATGTAATAAAAAGAGCTTTTTGGCTGCAGAAGCCCACAGCCTTCAGGTTGGATCTCACAGCCTACACAAGTGACTTTCCCACTGTGCCCCCATGCAGCCTGGCTGGAAGCAGCAGGCTTTTGCTTAGGTCCAGTGAGCTGGAGATGAGGGGATTGAGTCCAAAAGACTCAGGGAGATCCACGCTGTTGAGGTGGTCAGTGGCAGTCACAGCCTGGTAGATGTTAAATGCTCACCAAGTGCTTTGCAGACCTTCCTGGAGAGCTGACTTCAGGACCTTGCCTTGCAACGCAGCATCACTGAACCTCTCTTCGCTGATTTTTGTGTTCCCGGAGTTAAAAGTTGTGTAATCTGCAGCAGAATATGAATGTTTTTAGTGGCTATTGTCTAAATAGACAGGTGAGATTTGTCAGAAGCTCTCTAGCTCTGTTCTTCTGTTCCCTGAAACAAGCAAAATTTGAGGAAAAATGTTCTTCAAGGCTATTTGTCACTACAAATCCAGATTTCCTGAAGATGCATAAAAATACAGATCTGAGAAATAATTTCAACACTTCAGCACTCTAACAGTGCTTTTTATGCACAGTTTTAGAGGAGATAGGAAAAAAATCCCAGATTTCAAAACCCTTTATCTGTTCTAGTACAAAGGAAGGTAAAGACATAAACAGTTTCTGTGACTTCAGGAATCTTCAGGCTTGAGTTTCAATATAAATAATGAACTAGCAGGTTCAGTCGTCAAATACTTATTATCAAACACAGCTCTTAAGGGTTAATATTTCACACTATTATAAAAGTAACGATCATCCTTTGTCTCCATGCAATTAGCTTTTTAACAACGTGCCTGTAGCTCATACCCAGGCTAAATGCTGCTTTGAAATATTTTCTCCCGAGCTCCAAATGTGTTAAGCTGACTCTGGACAGCTTCTATAAAACTAGCTAATTGTAGGGCACTGCCTTCTTGAGGGGAATACCCAGTGCCCCACGCAGCAGTGCTGTGTGTTGGCTGCAGTAGCTCAGTTGCAGGAGTAGCAAGCAGAGGGTGAAGGCGAAATAGGTTCTTGTCAACATATGTCAGCCTGGGTAGGGTGGATAAGGCTGAAGACCCCTTTTCAACCCTGCCTCTACACCTGTAGACTTTATGATGTTTACCTGCTGACTTTTTTCCCCCAATTTGAGGAGGACATTGAGGGGCAGGAAGAGTTAACTGTAAAGTACACAATATAGTAAACTTGTTTTTTATATAAAGACAATAAACTTCTCCTTTATAATACACATGTGATTTGACATTGAAATAAATGCAGATGCTTCTTTGCTTGGTGTATTCCCTGTTGTGCTTTCTAAAACACCTTCACATATGGTTTGCTTCATTCCTGTGAAACTGCTTGTTGTTTATGTCATACAAATGGAAAAGACTGAATTTACGTTGAGTTAGGAGGGTGATGGATCCTACGTTAGAGGAAAAACTCTGTCTGAGTGCTTAAAATTTGTTCAAAATTAGTGTTTCCTATTTGAAAAATTTCCCTGGATTATCTCTTGAGCTCTTTTAAAGATTTCATTAAAAAAAAAAAAAATCTGTGGCTGCCTATAAATGCAACCTTTTATTCAAATATGTAACATTTACCTAAAATCAAAGGTCACATTTTACCAGCTTTTTATAGCTGTCCTAGTAGGAACTGCTTCATTCACTATATATAAAATACTACCATTAAGAGCGGACATTCAATTTCCTTTGGGAAAAGGAGAATAATCCTTTGTTACTTTCTTTAAAAAGTGCTCATAATTTAAAAATTTCTCAGTAACTTCTGATAGTTCATCTAAACCATTTCATTGTTTCTAATTCCATTTTGAAGCAAAATTAAAGGTAGGCCAAGCTTTAACTCTTAGGAAAAATCAGAAGTTCTACTGTTTTCTTTGAGTGCTTTTAAATCATTCACACATCATTCCTAAAAATGCTTAAGCTTTGGTTGTATGAGCACAGAGTGGCACCAGGATTAATCCTGATTCTGGAATCTTTGTGGGTGCTTTTTGGTTTTTTGCAGGCAAGTCTCAACAGAACATAAGTAATTTTTTTTTTAAAACTTATTCAGGTATCAGATGGTGTTTACACTGTACATGTCCTCTTATCTTTGAAGACTGAATTTTTACAGCAGATCAGTATATATTTCTATGTAGTTTTTGCTTTAGTCTTAGTTTCATGGAAGATTTTTCTGTTGCGGTAAAAGCTTACTTTTTGGAAAACTATTCTGTAGACAAATCATTAAATATGACTAGGGCATCATTCCTACTCCCTCTGATTTTTCTGAAACTATCTGTTTCTTCTCTTGTTGTATAGTATAATTCATAAATAGTAAATTTCAATGAATTGCATAGATTTAGAGATTTTGTTTCTTTACTGTCTCGTGTAATGGAAGAATTATTTCCCTGCTTTGGTGCATTGTGGTAAAATTTTACTACTGGAAGTTGAATGAGAAATAAGGTATTTGGAAGCAAATTTAAAATCAACAAAAAGGATTATTTCAAAATTTATCTAAACTGTTAGGAAAAAAATTAGGAAACAACCTTTTGAGGACTGAAAACAGTGAAAGATGAATCT